TATATGTATACACAATTACTAGAAATAGAAAAAAATGTTGAAGACTAAAGTTGCATGGTTGTTTGAGTAACAACGACTAAAATAATTTTTCAGTACACAGAGTGTTCTGTTTTTGATGAGTAATATACAAATCAGTTTTTTCAGATGTAATATTGCATATATTTTCACACACTTTGATTGACCGCTTTCAGGCTTTATAATCATGTTCATAATTTATTTTTGATATTCATTTGTAACGATGCCATGTTAGGACGACTTATTTTTTGTTATATTTGATATGTGTACAATATATGTATATTGTATAAAAAGATAAATAGTGCTACACGCTTTATTGTAGTATCAATTAAATTCTAATATATTTACGTAAGTAGACAGCTTTGAAATAACCATATTTCATTTTTTTTTTAATATGTTAGTTTGTTTCTCAAAAAAATGCTGCAGATACCTGAGGAGAATGACTAAGAGTAAAATTTGAAAACACTTAAATATCAATATTTGGAAATGATAATATTTTATATCTTTTATAATCACTCTGCATATTAAGACTAAGTTTGATTGATCCATAACAAAAGGCGTTCCTTACCGCTTTCAAAATATGTAAAACAGCCAAAATAACACTTTTATGATCTTTTTCAACAAAAGCGGAATAAAACGGGACAACGTCACATCGTAATTTCAAAAATAAGCTATCCTTTGTCTAAGACGATGCTTCTCAGAATAAGTTAAAATGTTATGGACGAACATATAACGTGTTCCATTTAAAAAACTAAATATGTCATACCTCTAAAACTCAACACTCTGTATTGTTAACGAGAATTTGAGTATATGTTATACCAAAAAACGTAGAATTTTAATTCTTCACTTCTTTCCTATTTCTCTACCAAGCGTGTCAATTGAAAAAGACTATGCTTTGATTATATTATTTGATATCTGCGAGTTTTACTCACTTTTTAGTGTAGTACGGGTATTATTTACTAAAATTATGATAAGCATTAAATTGATAATAATTAGAAAAATTGGTCTACAAAGTTTAGGCAGTACCATTGTCGAGACTCAGAATCTTCACACGATATTTGTCATGGTTTCTTAAGTACAGATCTCTTTGACGAAAGATATTTACAAAAAACCAGACAAGCGTCATCTTATGCTACTTATATCAATCAGACTTTCCAAATAAATTTTTCTGGTGAAGTCGTCAACAATTGAGCAAGAACAAATATATCAATTTGATTACTATTGATAATATTAATTAGATGCTATCCAAAATTTGTCCGAATATTCCAACCAACAATTTGATGACATCATTACAGAATTTTACAGCTCAAAACTTATTTCAATTTTATAAAATATGATGCTTCTTTCTATACTGTTTATGAATCTGAGCTTAAATTTTACTTCAGGCGTAAATTGTTGACAAAAAAAATCAAAATTTTAACAGCAATTAAAAATTTAATTCTTAAAAAACCGACACATTAATATTTTACATTTATAATTAAATATACAAGGTGTTCCATTTAAAGGTGAGGCCGAAAGTGGTGTTGTTTTTCAAGAAAATTGGGAATAGGTGTTTTACTTTTGAAAGTGGTTTAAAGAAACTCAGGACTTTTCTCTTTTTTTAAGTGTGTGAAAGAATCTTTAGGCAGTTTGTGTTTTTTCGAGTATTTCAAAAACTGCTGACCTATTGAAAAAATTGGAAAACCCCCGGAAAGGCCGGGTACTGAGTTTGAAAGAATTTTTGGGGCCCCTAGTAGACATTTTAATATATATAAAAAAATTTGGGTTTATTTTTCTTTTTGGTGTTTGAAAGAATTTGAAAAACTTTTGGGATCATCGTGTTTTGTTTTTGAAAGAGTGTGGTCAAATCTCAGAGATGCTTCGAGTTCTTTTTTGGATGTGAAAAAATTACTCCTAATTCGGAAAGTTGGGATTACCTGGTATTTTGTTTTAGCTTAAAGAGTGTCAAAGAATTCTAAGAGTTCTTAGTCTCTTTTTTTATATTAATTGGAGGTGGCACAACAAAAAAGTAAAATTCGCAAAATCAAATTTTATGGTTTAAAAAACTAAACTTGTTTTATTGACTGTTCTGTAGGGGAAGGGAAGTTCTATTTAAATAAGATTAGATCAATTTTTTATATCTACTTACTTGGTATAAGGATCAGTTGCACAAAATGCAAAATAATGATGTCTGGAGAAAAGCAATAGAACAGAAAAGGATATAATGACTTAATGAGAATATTGAATTTAAATGGAATTGAAGAGATGATTTCCATTTGGTATTATAGTAATCCCACTGTATTGTATTCATACCATCTTTTTAACTAGGCTAGACTCCTTCAAGGCAATATTTTCAAAATAACTTAACCAAAAAGGTAGACATGCATTAGCACACTAGTCCAAAAGTATTTTTGATAATTAAGAAGAATTTGCTTATTAAAACTTATTCGTTATATATACATTGATAACAGTTGCAGCAGCTATTAATAGACCTCCATTTTTATATAAATTATCATACGTTAAAAAAATATATATGCTTTTGTTCTAAAAGAGAAATAAAGAAAAGTGTTTATACCAAAAAATAACGTGTGATCAAAAGCTACCTACAAAGATATTCTTCTTATCCTACTTAAGTAATTCCTATAAAAACACACAGTGTAGTAAAAATATTTTTTTATTTTTCTACGAGTAGCATATTGCTGTAAATTTTCAAGAATTTTGAGAGAAGAACTTCCAAAAACTTTGTATCAGTAGTTGTTTTCGCTTTCTTTGGAATATCAAATTTCTGATTTGCTATTGAGGATGTCAAGTATTATCTACTACCCTCTTCCATTGAACAACTTCCTGACATATTTCATTTACTCTTAACATCTTAAATTTGGCAATAACGAAGCTTTTTCAGATTTCTGTTTTCGGGGTGATTTAATAACATTTTTTTAAAATTTTAAATCTTTCGTTAGGCACTAGAACTTTTACCGCCAGAGCTATCATCCTGTAGTTATTATCTAAATATCCTTTCTAGTTTTGTTCTGAAACTACACGTATTGACACTCTATTAGCAATAGCTTTAATTGTTCTCAGATTGCTTGCCAAATACAATCAAACGACGAAAAAGGGGCTGACTCTTGATAAGTATGCTAGTATAATTTTGGAAACTTCATTCTACGCTATAAAATTTTATTGGCAATAACGAGACGGATAGTAGTACAATAGCAAGAGATATTTACAACTTAAAGTTGTCGTGTGCCGGTAATCCCTAATGTTAGAAAGCAGAATAATCCAGATGAGGTGACGTCATCAATTTTTTGGAGGGGACAAGTAAATATACTTTGAATAAACATTTATCATGCCTATCATAACTGTAAACCATCTACAAGATTTCAAATCATTCGGTGTTGCAGATTCCAAATTTAATTGCAAAATGTTGTTTCAGAATTTTGATTTTTTTTTTCAAAAAATCTAGACGTTTCGGGTAAAAACTCAATTCGGAGTCATAAGCTACATATGTAGGACTATGTTATTTTATACTATTTGAAACCCATTTACTATGTACAATTTTGAAGTGATGTCATCACATAATTGGTAGGGATAATTAGGTAAATTTTGGTTAGCGTTTTACCATCTACATAATATAACTACAAAATTTCACAACAATTGGTCTAGTACTTTCGGAGATTATCTGTCTAATAAAAATCCGGAACGGCAGACAGACGGACAGACAGATAGACAGACGGAAACGGGAGACCTATTTCTTCATCTTCTAGGGGTCATGAAAGGTCGAGAAAATGTAAAAGTAGAGGGTCGGCCGACGGACTTGATTACAATATTTCCTTTGCTTACGCTCGGGAAGTAAAAATATATGAAACTGGTATGTTTTAATCTGCAAAGAAAACCTATATTTGTGAATAAGGAATTTTCCAAAATTAATAAGATAGCCTCTCAGTTTAAATTATTAAATACTTTAGGAGATGAACTAAAAACACCACACAATAAAATAGATAGTAATAAATATTTAAATCTAAAATTTGATGCCAATCAATCAATGGAATTTGGAAATCTTCTGTCTAATAAAATAGACACAGAGGAAAATAGATGCTCATGTAAAGACTCATTATATTTTGCACATTTTAGATAGGATTTATTTGGCATCATCAATTTTTTGGAGGGGATAAGCAAATATATTTTGATTGAAAATTTACCATGCCTATGACAACTTTAACATATCTGCACGATTTCAAAACATAAATCACAAGTATAGACTGATCATACTTTGTATATTTTAGACAGGATTTATTTGGCAAGATTTTGAGGTGCCGTCACCAATGTTTTGGATGCGATAAGTAAATATATTTTCTTTAAAAATTTACCGTGCTATAATGATTCTAAAACATGTGCAAAATTTCTAAATATCTGATTTTGCAGATTCAAAGTTAATTGCAAAATGTAATATAATTTTGATATTTTCTCAAAAAATCTGGACGTTTCGAATAAAAACTCAACACTGATTCATAACCTACACGTGTAGGACTTTGTATTGGTATAATTTAAAACCCATTTACTATGTACAATTCTGAGGTGACGTCATCGTGTTATTGGTGGGGATGATTAGACAATGTTTGGTTAGCGTTTTATAATATTCATAACACACATAAAATTTGTCAAAAAGAAAGAGAGAGAGAGAGAGACACAGAGAGCAGATTTTTAATTAATCACACGATATTTATTTTACGTAAAGAACAATACAAACATAACCATGGGCATCCATGGATTTTTGAAATTTTGTCTCTTTTTGTTGCATTTTGAGCTCACACTTTCACAGTAACGGTAATTTGACGAAAATTCTATCAGAAATCAATCTCCAAAAGTCCATGGCTTCGTTGATCGAGTTATTATTGCTATGTCGGTAGAATTATCCATATTAACGTGATTTAATTTAATACTCTGTTGTCTGTGAAGATTTTCATTAGTTAAAAAATATGTTTTACTAAATTATTTTTGTTTTTTAGAACAACGAATTGAGAGATGCCATTTACCTAGGTCCTTGGTACCGATACGATGTTAAAATACGAAAGACGCTATTAATTATCATGGAACGTTCAAAAGTACCAATTACTCTTACTGCTGGGAAGGTTGTCAATCTAGATTATGGAATCTTCACTTGGGTAAGTATTTCAATAATTGTTTATCCGTTATATCTGGTCTGTATATGTGTTTCAGGCGCTGAAAACCAGTTACTCATTGATCGCAGTTTTGAAAAGTTTTTAAAAAATTATTCGTAATGATTTCCTAACACATTTTTAAAGTAAAACTATTTATGTATAGAAAACAATGTTATTATAGGGTCAATGAAAATTGTCAAATTGTTACTTTTAGATGACACACTATTAAGAATTAAAAAAGCAAACCAAAGTTTTTGCAAAATACTATGTACTTTTAAAGAAAGACAATCTAAATCAAAAGTAGAGTTAGAAATTATGTCCCCACTGCTTTATATTCCACTGCAAGTAGGAATCAATTAATGATTTCTAGATTTTTAAAAAGTCTAGAAATAATATAAATATTACCAAATGAGAGTTCGACTGGAGTGATTCTTTTAATTTGAAGTAGTAATTAAATCAAATTTGGTATTAACGGTTGCAAAATTGTAATACTTCGAAAGTTTCTCATAATTTCAGAAACATGCACTTTATGTAATTTTTAAAAATAGTCGTCTTCAAGATGTAAACAGTACAAGCACTTCTTCTTCGTATTTCTATTTATAAAAAGATACATATGTAATCCAAGAATTGAAGTTGATTCATTTTATTTCCTCAATTGTGTAAGGAAATGATCAAGGCCTTTGAAGACTCTAAAACACCGCCGCTTCCGCCTAAACAATGCCTCATTATTTGCCGCCGAAGATAATAGTGTTGAACTGTTTTCACAAACCGCCTAAACAACAAACCTATTAAAGAAAATTATTCTCCGCCACATGCACAAAAGGAAATCCAACAAAGAAAATGTAAAACAGTCTGGCCTTTCATATTTATTTAAACGGCAAGTGTTCTCTTACGAATTGGGGATTTTCGTTTAAATACTTTTTTACAACTTAAGTGCCCGAATTCTCCTTGTTCCTATCTTGCAAACCTTCTAATAGAAAAGCCTTCAATACAATTCGTTAAGTTGAGCACACCTAACAACAAACTTTAAGTTTCTTGGCAGACACGCAGCTTGAAAACTTAATTGCTGAAAAGTTTCGTGTTGATCTTATTAAAAGCAACCTCTGCAGTGTCCTGCAGACCTCAACGGAATACTCCGGATCGAGTCTGCATAATTTTGTGTGCACAAAATTAGAGCAAACATTGGCCGTGAGGCGAAATTAATCCAGCCGCTCGAAAAAAAAAAGTACGAAATAATTAATGAATTGCTGCAATTAAATTCTTTTGCCGGAGGCTACATTAACTATATTTGTTTTCTCTTTTAAGCCTGTTGGAATAACATTAAAGGTATTTAAAATGTAATTCCATTCTTTCCCGTGCATTTTTCAGAACGGAACTAATTAAAAGCTGGAATTAGTAGCCCTCAAAATATAAGAGCGTTTCAATTAAAAAGTAACAATTTGTCTAATTACTTTAGCCTGCGTAATTGTCGAAGGAGGAAAAAAAAGCGGTGACCTTATCCGAAGTTGAGCGGAGGGTGTCTTGAATGACCGGAGGCAGTGATGGCCATTTTCAGCTCCAACGAACACAAGAAGGGACTTAGTTCGACAGAAATACACTACAAATGATAAAACTTGGTCTCCCTCGATTCCACCGAGTTTTATTTCATTCATTACGTCACCTCACTGCTTCGGAAACATGTATTTTGAATAAGAAGAGGAGAAAAAAGGGAAATAAATAATGCATTTTATGGAGAACATCTAGAGGTGTTTGGATGTTTAGGGTTAGTTAAGAGTTGGGACGGAGTGCCGTTTAATACCTCTTCAAATGAGCTATTTGTAACAGTGAGAAAGTTTATGAATGGACATTTAAGCTCCAGTATGTTTTAAACTGTTATAGTAATTGGTAATTTGTATCGCACTTAATATACACCCTGTATTTTTGTTTTCGCGTTATTAAAAATAAATGTTTGAAAAAAAATTGGAAGTTAGTGTTAGTGATAAGTGCAAATTTTTGCAGCTATGAAAATTACTTAAGCTTGTAGATAAAATCTAGTTTATATGTGTATAGTTCTAGAGACTACAGTTATGGTAAAGTATATATATATGTAGTTATAGAAATTATAATTTGTGTATAAAAGCGGCTTGAGACTTATGAAAAAGATTCAGAAATTTTGGGTGTTGATGTATTTCCGACTGTAAGTTGTTTTTTCTAAAAAAATCACTTTTTTACATAAACGTTTCCATTAGAATATTTTACTGAAATGCCTTAGTAACTGAATATTTCCTGAATTTTTTTGGCTATAAAATCTCTTGCATTAAAATTCAAATCATTTTTAGCTTCCAAGGTTGAACTGGGGAAGCACTATGATATAGTTCATTTGAGTAATGACCGTGAATATCAAAACTTAGATGCTGCGTTTCCTTCTGTCTGTCGTCGGCCTGTCTATATGCTTCTTGGACAATTTCATTAATCAAGTAATTTTTAAAACTACTGGATAAATTACTGTAAAATTCCAAATGTGTTTCAGGACTACTGTACAACTAAAGACTGATACTAAAAAGGAAATGACGCCATTTGTATTGGAAAAACAAAATTGTATTGAAAAAAACTTCTTTTTTAAAACGTACATCACAGTCTGCTCATTTACCTATAGTTTAACAAACCACCAACAAACTATTTTTCTTTTAATACATAGGTGTTATCATTACTTCCCTCTACCTCAGACTTTTCCCCAAACAAATTTTTTAACGAAAAATGTTTATGAGCTATTCAGACAGAACTTCACTCACCTCTACAATACAACCGAGCAAATTCTAAAAACTGTAAATAAAGTTGAGAATTTACTTTTTTTTGTAACTCCCAGATATACATTAAAATAAAGATATATGTAGAGAAAGTACAGGTAAAAAAGCATGCTATTCGTTTGTCTAAATGACTTTTCCTAGGAAAAAATTCTGTCATCAACATTTCAACAGGGATACGTATATCAATTTGCAGTAGAGTGTAATACTAACAGTAATAGTACTGTACATATACTCAAAATTTCGGGAAAATGAAATGAATGAATTTGATCAATTGATTGTCTCGTTCATGAATTGTTTTGAATCAGCCTCTATCTGGGTAATTCTTAAAAATATTAATGCTTTAATAAACCACATATACAGGGTGTTATTGAAATACATGGAAACAAAAAATCTGGTGAATGTAGGGAACCTAAGAAGTCAAATGAACGTTTGTTGTTTTAGTAAAATTTTGAAAGGAAAATTTAACCCCTATCCAAACATTCATTCCTCCACTGATAAATAATGGTTTCACGAAAAAATGTGAAACCTAGTAACTGAAAACTGCCGAGGTGCAACTACTGTTGCTATTAATTTATTGCTAGCAACAAATAAACAATGACAATAATTAATGAACTGACAATTAAAACTTCAAAATCATAATTTAATCAACCATAAAATGAAACAAAACGTAACGTATGCAACTAGAGCAAGTTTTCAAAATGTCCACCACCATTTCGTATACACGCTTCCGCACGTCTAATCAATGATTGTTGCCTTGTCCATGTAGAGTTCTCCACACCACAAAAGGTGAAACTCCCACTCGGTAAGACAATCGTCTAATGCTTATACCTGGATCGTTTTCAACGACATTCAAAATTTCTTCTTCGGCATCAAGTGTCCGTTCTGTCCTTTCACGACCACGACCACTAAAACGAGGTTGAAATTTCCCATTTTCTCGTAGACGCTGAACAACGTTAGCAAATGTTTTATGATTTGGCAATCTTCGTTCGGGAAATGCTTCTTGGTATAAACGTCGAGCTTCCAAGGAGTTTCTTAAGGCTTGTCCATACATCAGAACCATGTCAGTCATTTCAGAATTAGAAAAATTCGTTTTGTTCTTCCAAAAAATTGCAAAAACATCAAAAAATGATGGGCTAATGAATGTATTGTCATGTTAACAAGCAACAATTTTACCTACTTTAAATTACTATAGTGATCAAATTTACCTTTAACATTTTTGGAATCAGTAGCGCACACGCAAATTTTAACAGATTTTCAATCAATTTTATCTCGAAAACTAAAGGATTTTTATTAGATCAATATTTGATGCATAAATTCTCTACATCATGACCAATTACCTTAAAAAAAGTTTCCATCTATTTCAAAAATACCCTGTATAGACTCATAATACTTTGTACAACGTGTCTATAAATGTTTGTAGATCAAGTGACTTATGGAAAACTTGTCAAAACTGTAGTGATCAAAATTTGCCGCTTCAAGAAATAGGGATTATTATTATTAAACTCTGAAGTACTTGTTATTCTACCTCGCGGGCGCTATTTAGTAACTTTTTTAACAAATCCAATAAGAAAAATTATTTACATATCAGTACGTTGAAGGAAGTTAAAAACGGATTTTCAGTGCTCCATATTCGATAATTCTGTGAATTAACATACGTGGAAAGATGAAACCAAGCTTCATCGCTAAAGAATGTTAAATCCAGCAAGCATGAAGTGAATAGTGCCATGCTGCATCTTCAAAGCCTCCATTGTGATAGTACGCCATCACAATAAAAGTATTTTGCTCTACAGTGCAATTTGTTGATTTTAGCTTGCAATTCCAACATGTTAACACGAATTACTTGAAAAAATTCCTGTACAAATGTTGTCGTTTTGAAACAAAGGTTTTTATTTAGCGATTTCATTATAAAACTCATAAAAAAATTACAAAACATATAGCGAGCATTGTAACGTAGCCAAATTTCTAGGTTAGGAGGTTAGGACATTTCACAAGATTATTTCAATTGACAGATTTTACATCTCACTAACACGTCCTCTCCAAAATAAGTTTAGCACATGCACAGTTTCAAAGAAGCAGCAAAATGTGACCAGCATCCAAAGACCACTTGATCTACAATCATTTATGTACACCCAGTATATTTTATATAGAATTTATTCGACAAAATTTTGAAATGGCGTCATTAATTTGCTGGAATGGGTTAAACGGATAAGTTTGATTAATGATTTAGCAAGATTTCAGAGCATTCCGTTTTTCCAGTTTTAAAGTAAATGACACTCTCCCTGTGTGTATCTGTCTGTCTGTGTGTCTGTCTGTCTGTCTGTCTGTCTGTCTGTCTGTCTGTTCGAAA